TCTGGGGTGCCCCCCTCCCATCCTGGCCCTGAGAACCCCCTCCCACCCCGGGCATGGGACCCCCATCCCATCCTGGCCCTGGACCCCCCCTCTCTCAGGTAGAGGTACATATTGAGTTGGAATGAGCAGGGTTTTTTTGGGGGGGAAGGAGGTGCTGCTTCTGTCAGAAGATGCCAGGAGCTTCCCCCATGTCCCACAGAGCCAATGGCACCAGGTCCAAGAAGGACCCACCACTGGCCAAAGTCGAGCCCATCAGTGATGGTGGGAGCCATTCTGGGGTAATATATTTAAGAAAGGGGAAAACCCCTGTGCAACAGCAGCTGGAGAGAGGAGTGGTAACACCTGAGAGCACCAGCTGCGCAGACACCAAGGTCAGTGGAGAAGGAGGGGGAGGAGGTGCTCCAGGCACCAGAACAGAGATCCCCCTGCAGCCGTGGAGATCCATGGTGGGGCAGAGATCCCCCTGCAACCCATGGAGGTCCCCAGGCCAGAGCAGGGGGATGCCCAAAGGATGCTGTGACCCCCGTGGAGAGAGGAGCCCATGCTGGAGCAGGGAAGAGTGTGAGGAGGAAGGAGCAGCAGAGACAATGTGTGAAGAACCAAACCCAACCCCCAACCCCTTCCCTCTGCATCTTTTTTGGGGAGGAGGCAGAGAAAATCGGAAGTGAAGTTGAGCCCGGGAAGAAGGGAGGATCCCCCTGCAGCCGTGGAGATCCATGGTGGGGCAGAGATCCCCCTGCAACCCATGGAGGTCCCCAGGCCAGAGCAGGGGGATGCCCAAAGGATGCTGTGACCCCCGTGGAGAGAGGAGCCCATGCTGGAGCAGGGAAGAGTGTGAGGAGGAAGGAGCAGCAGAGACAATGTGTGAAGAACCAAACCCAACCCCCAACCCCTTCCCTCTGCATCTTTTTTGGGGAGGAGGCAGAGAAAATCGGAAGTGAAGTTGAGCCCGGGAAGAAGGGAGGGGTGGGGGGGGAAGTGTTTCAGGATTTAGTTTTTATTTCTCATTATTCTCCTCCAATTTGATTGGTAATAAATTCAATTAATTTTTCCCCAAACCAAGTCTGTTTTGCCCGGGACTGTAATTGCTGAGTGACCCCTCCCTGTCCTTGTCTCGACCCAGGACCCTCTCAGGGTATTTCCTCTCCCCGTCCAGCTGAGGAGGGGGGTGATGGAGCAGCTTTGGTGGGCACCGGGCGTCCAGCCGGGGTCAGACCCCCCCAAGGAATGAGGCATCGCCCCTGCAGAAAGTGGGTGACAGAACAACTGCACCCTGGGACAACAGGGAGGGTGAGGGGGGGCCCTGCCTTGCCAGCACCCCAACTGTGCAGTGGGGGCTGTACTGGGGGTGTGGGGAGAGAAGGGTGTAGAGAGGGGGCTGTAAGAGGGGTTGCAGGGGGTCTGTGGGGTGTGAGGAGGGGCTGTATGGGGTGTGTGGGGAGAGGGGATGCTCAGGGCATATGGGGGGCTGTAGGAGGGGCTGGAGAGGGTGACTGTGTGTTGGGCTGTGAGGATGGACTGGGGGGGTGTAAGCAGGGGTATGGGGGGGGATGTGGGGACCGTGTTGCAGCCCTGCAGGTGTCTGTGGCAGGACATCCTCTGCGCCTGTTCCGCTCCCGCTGGTTGTGCCCCCCCCGCACCACGGCCCAGGGCTCTGTGCAGGTCGGTCTGCAGCCCCAAAGTGGGGTGCTCCTTGTGGGGGGGGCTGCTGATGGTGTCCAGGAGCTGGGTCCCCATCCCTGCAGGCCAACTGCCAGGCTCTGGGCGCAGCGGGGAGCCCCCTCGGGCACACATCCCGTGCTGGGCGGTGGGGTCTGCGTGCCCTGCCTTTGGAGGGGCTGGCATCGCCCCCCCCCTGCCACCACCCGCCTTCCGCATTCCTGGGGCCGCCTGCCCTCCCCGACCCGCGTCCTGTTTGCCGGGCGCGTCACCCCGGCCTGAGTCACCCCGCGGCCTCCGCAGGTGACGGAAGGCCAACAATAGCCCACAAAGGGAGGATGTTCCCCCCAAAGCCTTCCTCCGGCTCGTCTTCGAGGAAACCTCCCGCGGGAGGGAAGGGCCCCACCGGACGCGCGGTGGCCGATGAGCCTCGTCCTGTTGACGCTGGCCGGCTCGGGGCGGCACGCGGCCCCGGGGGTCCCCAGGGACGGCCGGTGCCACCCCCCTGGTGCTGGGCGAGGAGGAGGGATGTGCAGCCACAGGGATGAGGCTGTGCCCCTGGGAGCGGGACAGGGCACCCTCAGCCCCATCCCTGGGCTGTGGCATGGGGAGGGGGTGGCATCAGAGAGTCGAGCTCAGAGGTTGGGAATCAGGGGGCTGGGGGACCCCCTTGTCACCGTGCAGACCCCATGGGCCCCGGTGTGTGGCTCTGTGGTGTGGAGGGGGTGGCAATGGGGGGAGACAGGGCACCACTGAGTGTGCAGCCCCCACCCTGGCACTGGGCAGGGACCAGGCGGGGAGGATGGAAGCATCATTAGCACATCTCACTAATTAGCAGGACGGCAGCAAACCGCTGCCTGTCACCACGGCAACTGCGTCACACGTCCTTGAGAAACTTTGGTTGCCATAACAATTACAGGCGGCTTTGGTGTCACCCTGCGTGTCCCCCCCGTCCTGCCCGCGCTGGGGAGGGGGATCCCCCACCGCCCCCCCTGGGCTCCCCCGAACGGGGCCCGGGGGTGACACCAGGCACAGGCAGCACCAGAGCATCCCTGACACGAGTGTGCCAGGCCTCGGAAGGGACAGGATGGGGACAGGACCGTCGGGCTTCGCTGCTGCCGGTCCCCGCGCTGCACCGGAGCTGGGGCAGGACCGGGCGGGTGGGAAGGGGGCAGGGGACGGGACAGAGGGACAAGGGGACAGGGACAGGACAGGGGGACAAGGGGACAGGGGACAGCGCGGCTCCGCAGCGCAGCCCTGGTGCCACCTCGTGGTGAGCAGCGTCCCAGCGGCACAGCTGGAGTGGCGGCGGTGACACAGCTGGGCTGGCGGCGGTGACACAGCCGGACAGTCCCCCGCGGGACGGAGAGCCGCTGCGTGGGCCGAGGAGTCACTTGGTGGCCCAGCCGGGTGGTGGCCGTGTGGCCACGGTGCCCCCCAGCCCCTCCGGTCCCGGGGCCAGGCCGCTCCCCAGCCCCAGGGGAGGGGGCTGGCCCCACACCGCAGTGGGGCTGGTCACTGGTCCCACCGGGGTGTGCCTGGAGAGCATTGCCCAGAGTTCTGGCGGCATCCCTGGCAAATCCCTCCCAAATCCCTGCCGGCATCCCTGCTGAATCCCTGGCAAATCCCTCCTAAGTCTCTGCCGAATCTCTGCCTGCATCCCTGCTTGCATCCCTGCCTGCATCCCTGCCGAATCCCTCCCAAATCCCTGCCTGCATCCCTGCCTGCATCCCTGCTGAATCCCTGGCAAGTCCCTCCCAAATCCCTGCCTGCATCCCTGCCTGCGTTGTGCCTGTGTGCAGCAGCAACCATGCCAGCAAAAGCAGGGTTGGAGGGTGGGGGTACAAACCTGGGACAAGAGGGTGCCCAAGGGCCCACAGCCCCAGGGTTGCCCCCAGGGGAGGGGTCTGGCCAGGCAGAGGGTTTGTGGGGAGGAGGGAAGGGGCAGCAGAAGGGTGGCTGGCACACTGCGGGGCACAGGAGCCAGCCGGGCAGGGCTCTGGTCTGTGGTGAGCAGCTCCCCAGCAGGGACACCTCCAGGTAGCCATGTCCTGCGTGGGGATGTGTGTCTGTCCTCTGTGAGGATGTGTGTCTGTCCTCTGTGGGGATGTGTGTCTGTCCTGCATGGGGATGTGCATCCTCCCCAGAAGGTCCGTGTCTGCTCCACAGAGGGACCCCCCTGTTTCCCACCAGCTCCAGGTCTGTCCTGCAGCCCGTCTCTGCCCTGACCCCCGGGGAGTTCATTGAACCAGGTAGAGGAAACGCGAGTGCAATAACAGTGACAGTCCTTGGGGTCAAGGCTTGTTATGACTAAGATAATGAGCTTTTTAACAAGGCAGATGCCACAGCGGTCCAGAGCTCATGGACTTGTGGGGACAAAGGGCACATCCCAGAGGGATCCTCCCGCAGAGAGCGGGTCCCAGTCCCCCGGGACAAACACCTGCGGGTGCGAGGTTCCCCCCCCCCCATTGCTGCAGCCCCACTGGAAGAACAGCCACATAAAAGAAATGAGGGGCCCAGCTGTGGCCAGGGGGTGTACACCCGTGTGCCAGGGGCACGCAGCGTCTGCGGGAGCCAGGGGGGTGTCTCACCCTGCCCAGGGCCAGCTCCCAGCCCTGCTCACGCAGTGGGTGAAGGAGGGGCATTTTTGCCTCCCTGTGACCCTCACGATGATTGCTATGGAGTGTCCCCCCCGATGGCCTCTGCCAGCCCCAGCCTTGGGGGTGCCACCCTCAGCCCTGCCCAGGAGGATGCTCTGCCCCACTCTGTGTCCCGGGGAGGAGAGGGGCTGGCCTGGGGAGATGGCTGGTCCCGGCAGCACAGCCCCCCCCAGTCCCCTCACCCCAGGGGTCCCCATGTCATCTCTCCATGGCTCTGGGGGACAGAGGTTTCCCCGGGGACAGCGGGAAGCCCCTTCGTGCCTGTTCTGAGCCCCGGGCAGGGACGTGCCAGGCTGAGCTGGCACAGACCCACCTCCGCTCCGGGAGGATCTTTGGACTTTGTGCTGATTTTGCTGTTTGCTTTTATTTAGCAGCAGGATTCGCTTTCCATGAATAGGACAACAACCTTCCCCCCCACCCCCCCGCCCCGTATCTGCTCCAGGCCTTGGCCCTCCCACCCAGCATCCCCCCGCCCCTGGGGCAAAGGCACAGGAGGAGGGACCTGTCACCCAAGGCACCGGGGACACATCCCCTCCGCTGCCCGTCCCGCTGGGCACCCTCACAGCAGCCATGCGCCCCCCGCACTGGATCGCAGCCTGGGTGCTCCTGCTCCATGGTATGTCTGGGGTGGGGGGGCTCCACAGGGGATGGCGCGTCCTGGGACCCCCCCGGGAGCCAGGCTGGTCCCAGCACGGGGGATATAGAGGGGTTTTGCTGCAGTCCCAACACCAAGCAAGGGTGGGTTTGCCCTTCAGGGGCCAGGGCTGGGCAGAGGGGCTGCTGAGAGGGGCTAGTCCTGCTGGCCTGACCCCCGGGACAAGCTCTGGGGAGGTGACAGCTCCGGAGCAGCTCCCAGGGGCACAGACACCACTGACCTGAGGCCCCACCATGCTGAGGGTGACCCGTTCCCCCATTGCCCCTGGTGCCCTTGTCCCCAGATGAAGAACCAGGTCCCTGCCCGCAGGCTGCAGCGGTGCCGGTGGTGGAGAGCTCGGGGACAGGCGGTGGCACGGGGGTGGCACTAGATGCAGAGCAGCCCCAGGGAGAGGCCGGGGCACGCCCCTGGCTGCTGGCCATGTCCTCCAGTAGCCCCAGCACCGGGGGTGCTCAGGGATGCTCCTGGCAGCCCCCTTCCCAGCTCCGGGGCAGGGTGGGCACTGCCTGCACACCCCTGGGGACTGTCCCCAGGTGTGCCATGGGTGCTGGCTGTGCCCGGGAGCATTTACTTCCTCCTGAGCTGGGCGATGGCTTTGGTTTTCACCCACTGTTCCTGAGGCTAGAAACACTGTTTTTTGCAAAAAGCCCCAGTATAGGCTGGCTGGGTGCTTGGGTCTGGGGGTCACAGCTGCCCTGGCGCTGGCCCAAGGGGCCAGAGGGACCCTGGGCTGGATCCTGAGGCTGGGGGTGTCCCCGTGTCCCCAGGCTGTGCCGCAGACCAGCCGCCGCAGGCTCCTTCCACCAGGACCGACATCCGGGACTGCTCCACGGACCCACCGGTGAGCCCCGCCGTGCCCAGCCCTCCCTGTCCCTGGGACCCCCGGTGTGGGGTCACCACCCCCCAGCTCCACCCCTGCAGCTGGTGCCCCCCCTGCCCCAGCATATGTCCCCTTCTGCCACCAGTACCTGCCCCCTACGGTCACCAACACGACGGCGCGGCTGGCGGCTCTGCGGGACACCATGCGAGCCCACGGCATCCACGCCTACATCGTGCCCTCCACCGATGCCCACATGGTAAGGCAGCAGCCGGCCCCCGCCCCCGGGGACCGGCCACCCCCACGGGTGCCCGCGGCCACCCCTCACGGCTCCCTCCCTGGCTCCAGAGCGAGTACATCTCCCGGCGGGATGCCCGGCTGGCCTGGATGACCGGCTTCACCGGCTCCGCGGGTGAGAGCATCCTGGGGTCCCTGCTCGGGGGGTCCCAGAACCCCCCTGCCTGCCCATCCCCATCCCTGGGGCTCCTCGGGGCAGGGACGGTCCCACCCCGCACAGGAGGTCCCTAGGGGTCCCGGCTGCCTGGAGAGGGGGGAGAGGTGGCGCCTGAGCCCCCCCACCGCTGTCCCAGGCACCGGGGTGGTGACGCTGGACAGGGCTGCCCTGTGGACCGACAGCCGCTACTGGACCCAGGCGGAGCGGCAGCTGGACTGCAACTGGGAGCTGCAGAGGACAAGTCAGTGTGGGGCAGGATGGGGGGGCCGCTGTGTCCCCCCGCCCCCAAGACCCCCCCCGGTCCCAGGCACGGCCTCACCTGGGCTCAGCGTGGGCCATGGCTCGTCCTCGCGGTGCCACCCGGTTCTCTCCCGCAGCCTGGATCGAGTCCATCGGGCTGTGGATCCTGGAGGCGGTTCCTGTGGGGGGGAACATCAGCTTGGACCCCTTCCTCTTCTCCATCGGTAGGGCTGGCCATCACTCGGGGTGACCCTGCCCGGTGTGAGGGCCGCTCCCGGGTGTGCATTTACCAGGTGCCCCCAACCATGGGCTGCTCCCCCCCCCAGACACCTGGAACAGCTACAGACAGGCTCTGCACGGCTCCGGCAGGAACCTGGTCCCCATCGAGACCAACCTTGTGGATGAAGTGTGGGGTGACCAGAGACCCCCTTTACCCTCCAGCAAGATCTACAGCCTCTTGGAGGAGTTCACAGGTACGACCGCTGTCCTCCCCGAGGCCGAAGGGTGGATGCTTGCCCACGGCAGCCCCCAGCCCGGGGCAGGGAGATGGTGGTCCCTGAGCTGAGCCGGCCGCTGGCTGCCTCCCAGGGAGCAGCTGGCAGGAGAAGGTGGCCGGGATCCGGCAGCAGATGGAGCAGCACGTTCGGCGCCCCACGGCCGTGCTGCTGTCGGGGCTGGAGGAGACGGCCTGTGAGTAGCCGTGGTGGGTGCCCTGGTGGGTGCCATGGTGGGTGCCCTGGTGGGTGCCGTGGTGGGTGCCGTGGTGGGTGCCATGGTGGGTGCCGAGGGCTCCAAGCCCCCGGGGTAGGAGGGCAGCGGGTGGGCGCAGGCTCGGAGGTCTCGTTCCTGACAGGGCTCTTCAACCTCCGCGGAGACGACATCCCCTACAACCCCGTCTTCTACTCCTACACCCTGCTGACCAACACCAACATAAGGTGGGCACAGAGCACAAACGGGGACCAGCACCCACCTGCCTTCCTTTCTGGGGCCAGCACCCATGGGACCCTTCCCTGGCCCAGCTGCCCCCTGCCCCAGAGCCCACCATGTCCCCCCCAGCCCCATTGATTGTCCCCTTCAAGCCCCACGTCTTCCCCAGGTCCAGCCCCCTCCCACCCAGCCCACCCTGGGGTACAGCACCCTCCCTTCCAGCACAGCCTGAGGCTGACCTCCATTCCCAGCTTGGCATCCTCTCTGAGACCCCCAGCCAGCCCCCCAGGCCTCTCTGAGCCCCCCAGACAGCTCCTCAGATCCCTCCAAGACCCCCAGACCCCTCCTCTCTGCTGGCGTGCCCCACCTGGCTGGGTTTGGGGGACACACCAAAGGCAACAGGCCAACCCCAGGCTGTGCCCACCCCATCCCACGTCCCCCCCATCCCATGTTCCCCCCCCAGCCTCTTTGTGGACAAGGAGCGGCTGTCGGCGGAGGCGTTAGGGTCCCTGCAGGCCGGTTGCCCGGGACCACTGTGTGTGGAGCTGCAGGAGTACGGGCAGGCGCGCACCCACCTCCGCAACTATGCCCAGGGCAACGTCACCATCTGGCTGGGCACCGAGTACACCACCTACGGCCTCTACGGTGTCATCCCCGAGGTGGGACACTGCCGCGTTGGCACCCGTGCCACCGAGCCCAGCTGTGGGCAGTGTGGGTCCTGCCGGGCTCGGGGACAGCCCCCTGCCACGGAGCCATGGGGGTGTGGGGTGCCCCATGGCCGTCCCTGGGGGACGAGGGGGCTGGTGGCCGTGCCACCCCCAGCCTGCCCTTGCAGGAGAAGCTGCTGGAGGACAGCTACTCCCCTGTCATGACGGCCAAGGCTGTGAAAAACGCCAAGGAGCAGGAGCTGCTGCGAGCTGCTCACGTAAGGGCTGTCCCGGTCCCCACAGCCCCCAGAAGTGGGGGGTGGCCGGGGGGAGCGGGGTGCTGATGCCTCTCGCTGGGCCACCCCCAGGTCCGGGACGCGGTGGCCGTCATCCAGTACCTGCTGTGGCTGGAGAAGATGGTCCCGCAGGGGCAGGTGGACGAGTTTTCGGGGGCACAGCACGTCGATGCGCTCCGACGGTCAGTGCTGCTGCCGCAGACACCCCCCCGCCCGGTGCAGGGCAGCCAGGGACCCCCAGCATCTCCCCCCCACTGCCTTCCAGGGCCCAGAAGTACAACCACGGGCCCAGCTTCGAGTCCATCTCGGCCAGCGGGCTCAACGCGGCGCTGGCCCACTACAGGTACGGCTCGGCCCCAGCTGGGCTGGGGGTGTCAGGGCCGGCAGCGGGAGCAGGCTCTGACCCCCCCTTCCCCTCGCAGCCCCTCCAACGGGAGCAGTCGGAAGCTGTCTGCGGATGAGATGTACCTCTCGGACACCGGAGGGCAATATCTGTGTGTAGCC